CCCTGATATTGGGTTCCCCCTCTTCCCTTTGTCCAAGGGGTTCATTAAAAGCATCCGCGGTGTCTTGCAGCAGTACCGGGCTGCCTTAGCAGGGGCCAATATCCCGGAGTGGACAGAGGACAAATAAACCGTCAGGTTAGGGACAGGCAGGTGCAGGGGAGAAGGGAAAGCAGCAGAAAGGAAATTGGCACACACTGTTACCAGTAAACTGGCTTCTCCTTCCAGCTTTTCTTCCTCAGCTTGGTTTGTTCCAAAGAAGGTGGTAGGCCTGATTGCTCCTCCGAGGAAAGGTTGTCTAAGCATGAATAACTCTTTGCCCCCAGCCCTTCTTCCTTCCCCCTGTCCCACGTCCGTGCTCCTCTTGCGAGTTTGACCCTGCAATGGTAAGATTTGAGACCTGCACAGAAGCAGTCTTGCAGCCACGTTCCCTCTGCACTTTCATCTTGGGGCTCCTTTCCACACAAGGACTCTTCCCACCCAGCGCTACACCCCGCAGTTTGTTCTGGAGGGGTTCAAGCCAGGAGAAGCGATTGCTGTAGTATCTGGAAATGAAGGGCAATGCCCTCCCAGTCTTTCATTTTTCTCAGCGTTACCATGGGTTTTATGAAGTTGACCCCAGCGCATATGTACTTAGACATGGGATTGTGTTTGCATTGAAGTTGTCTACGCCATACGGAGTTGCTCTAGTCCTTAGTTCTTTACTGATAGCTACGAGGTTCTTCCCATCAGGACTTGGTCGGCAGGACCAGAGCTCTGCACTAGCCCTGGTGCTGCCCTGGTGCTGCTGCGGGGTTTCCATCCAGTTCTGCAACTTCTAGTCAATTCTCTGGAAGCAATTCTAGCCATCCCCACTTCTTTTTCTCCAGAGTAAGGCAAAATTCCCTTTCCTCACCATGCATGCCTATCTTCTAGAAGTACGTGGGATTCAAGGTTCTGCCCTTGTTACTTGCTTAGGTATCCGTGTCTCTCGTTCCCAGCCATCCTGGCTGTCACACAGCACTACACCCACCCGATCTCGGCCTCGCCTGGGCTGGCGGCAGCGGGTGACCTTGGGGCGTATTGCAGATCCAGTGGCTAGTCTGGATGGTGAAGCTGGCGTGGCTGCTGCCCAAGGGAAAGGAGCTGTCGTGTTGTGACGAGGTCCTGTCGTAGCAGCAGCAGTTTGTGACCGTTCCCATGCTGTTGCTCCACCAGCAACTGGAGCACAGCAGACGCCGGTGCGGACTGTTATCAATTCCTCCCCTTGCCAGCCGTTTCCCGCGGTGGCCTGGCTCCGCTGCGGCCGGCAGCGTTGTGGGCACAGCATGTACCATCCCTGGTCTCAACCGCAGAGCTGCCATGCAGCTCTGGGAGACGGCCGGCGAGATCAGCCCGTGTTTGCCTGGGCTGCCGGCCCTGAGCACTTTGAAGCAGTGACTTGCCAGAGTCTCTCTTGCTGTGCGCACGCACTTATTTCACTTCTGGAGCTGGGAGATCGCACTCCAGCACTACTGCATTTGCCCAATGTTTAGGCATTGGAGAAGCACCCACTTAGCGTCCATGTGGAGCACGGTCTGTCAGGGAGAGTCCGTTGGTCCTTCCAGCTAGCACAAAACTCTCCTTTGCTCTTGCTCGATGTAGCTGCGTTCCCTTCCCCCAGCCCGAGCCAGGATCTGGCCTTCTCGTTTCGAAAGGGAGACCAGCAGGCGAATCTCGGCCCACTTGCGCGGTGCTTTCTGCTCCTCGAGACACCAGGGTCTGCACCCGCGTTCCCCCCACCCGGCTCCCTGCGCCCGCTGTCTCCAGCTGCCCCTGGGACGCTCCGGAGCCAGGGGCTGGCCGTGCAAAGCCCTTCTCGTGTCACTGTCCGCTGCCAGGACTTTGGAAGCGTGTCCTGCTCCCGGTGCTCCGGAGGAAGCAGGGCTTGGCTGTGAGCGAAGACCTGGGCCTGCGGAGCTCTCCAAGCACTGGTCCGCGGGTGGATGGCTCTGGCCAGCAGGCAGGAGGTCTGGCAGCGCGGCAGACCCCCGTCCGGGCTGCGGAGAGGGGCTTTGAGCCGCAGGCAGGGCAGCGCGCGCTGCACACGTAACTCACGGCGGCGTTCTGGCTGTGGCTGGTGCTACGGGAAAGGATCCCTTTGAGCGGGGAGCGCGGGTGTCCCCGGAGCATAAAGGGCCGGCTGGGGCCGAGGGGCGAGGCTGCTGCTTCAGGGCAGGGGAAGGGCAGGCAGAGAGGCTCGTTCCACAACTGACTAAACCTCTTACTCACCAGACAAAATTGCGGTTGGGGATCTACAGACGCCAGCTTCCTCTGTCCCCTGCGCCGGCCGTGCCTGTCCTCAGCCCCGCCAGCCAGGGAGGGAGGGAGGAAACCCTTCGGGGCCGAGCGGGAGGTGGAGGGACAGAGGAGCTCTGGGGTCCCCTGCTTTGCCCCCCCCTGTACTCTGCAGCCCTCATCCCAGGGGGAAGGCGGTCGCCGCCCGGGGCAGGAGGGCAGGCAGCCAGCGCCGCTGGGCCCGGCCGAGCGCTCCCCTGCGCCCGAGAAGCCTCTTTGCTTCCTCTGATCCTAATCAAGAGCTTCTGCGCAGGTTCCTGGGGCTTCCTACCGAGGAGGTGTGTGTTGGCCGCCTGGAAGGGGACGCTGCTCCCCGGCTGCCGCTGCCCCGGCATCGCTCGCGCTCCGTAGCTGGCTGTCCCGAACCGAAGCGTGCGCAGAGGTTTACAAATTTTCTAAGGCTTTTGATAATGTGAAGCTCCTGGGTGATGAGGTTGGTGGTGAGCACACTGCAGCTATGTAATTTTTTGTGTATGTATGTAATATTTAAGGGTAAGAAAATTTAAAAGGCTAAAACCTTAAAAAAAAAATTAAAAACACACAAAAAAAGCCAAAGCATGATGCATATTGTTAGCCTTAAAACTGGCTACATGACTGTGTGATGTACAAATGAGAGCAGCCTGTAACTGTTTTAAGTGCTGGGGTTGGGGAAGAAGCATTACAAAATCAGTTTGTAGCCTTGATTCTGTACAGTATTTAATGAAAAAAAAAAAAAAAAAGACCTGACTATTGAGGCCATGCTTAGAGGTGTCGTTCACGTGCAGATGTGGATGCTTGGTTGCTTACGATATATGTATAAAGTGCTGTGTGACCATTAAAACTTTTTTTACCTGCAGAATTTTTTTTTTGTTTGGCTAACCAAGGTGTAATAAAGGAGGGAAGATGACTTGCCATTAAATTTTGCCTCTGTGAGTAGTTGTGACTGTCGCGTCCGGAGGGAGCCAGGTGGATCTGGCAGCGGGGGGCTGCCCCCGTGCCTCCGTACAAACCGGCTCCCCGAACCCCTGACTCACAGGACAGCTGTCAGGCGCTTTTTATTTTCCATGCTCTCTGCTGGCGTCTGGTGCACGCAGGATCTGGTGGCTCCGCGTGTGCCGGCTCAACCGGCTGCTGCCCCGGCGGATGGGGCCAGACCTGGGCGAAGAAAAACCCCATGCAGCCGCCCCAGCCCGGCAGCGGGACGGCTCCCTCCTGGTGCTGCCTTCCCAGCCCCGCGGCCCACAGGTAAGCGCGTGATGAGATGCGAACGCGGCCGCGTCCGGGCTGCTGGGGCCAAGGGGCTCCTGCACCTCCCGGCTGCCCATGGCGTG